GACATACCATTGTTCTGGTCTGAGCAATACTTGGTCAGTGAAAAATGAAGCATTTAGGAGGGTTGGGATTTTAACCTGTGACCTCCACCAGGGTGTGGAGTTATACACGGGCGGTGTCGGGTCCTCACATGGGGGAACGGCCAGAGATAGTAGTGAACACCCCGTTCTCTCACAGATTGCATTTATCTTTCCCTCTTTGGGAGCTTGTAACCATGCTTCAACTCCCAGGGAGCGAAAGAGTTCTCACTGTTGCTTATGGGGATGATACTGTACTGGATTGATGAAACAGCACTGCCCTGGCAGAATCATAACACTAATTTGCTTTAGGAACCCTACTGGTATAAAAGGATGGGGATAAGCGGTGGAGACTTGTGGATACAGCCTTCTTCTAGTTGTATTAAAGTGAGTACCATTCCACTACGCCTGTGTATAGGTATGATTTACAAACCATGTAATAACTTTGCTCCAACCTGTAATACACCCTCCCACCTGGTGGGCTTCACACCATCGCTGGAGAGTGTTGCCAGCCATAGGAATGGGAGGGGGCAGATTCTGCCATAAACGCAGTGGCTCAAGAGGCTGAACAGATGTAGAATGCATGATTGGGGGCACAGACTCAGGGACGTTGAGCTCAACGGGGTTCCCCTCAGGAAGTATGTAACAACAAACTCCCAAACGAGCAGAGCTACAACAATTACCTCCCCTCCCACAGTTAGCTATTCCAGCCTTCAGGTAGGGAATGTACCCAAATCTAATAACTGGTGCCACAGGTGCACTGACAGTTACCACCTTGCCAGTCAACTATTCTGTTTCTTCTACTCAGAGACCAGGATTTCATTTGCTCTGGGGTGGCGGGTTTCTTCCAGTATGAATACTGCAGCTGGACCACGTGAAGGTCATCTGAGCACATTTTCGGGGGATGCCCTTCAGGGTCCGGCTACTTGTTGAGGTCTTTAGGAGCAAGTTCATTGATATATGGGTAATAAGAAGGATAGTAGACATGCCCTACCCAGGAAACACAATAAGGCATAAATAAAAAGAGTACAGTTATAATAGTCCACCACTTCGTGGTGCCAGTTGATTCAGACCAGTGACAGAGCAGGACTTGTCTTCAGTGGCAGGCTCAATTAGGAATGGTTATGGCTGCATTTGTGGACAGATCCAATCTGTAGGAACAAGACAACAAGGAGCTTGGCTCCTGTTAGATGAATCTGACTTAAATACCTACCATGTATTATGCATACCTTTTGCTAATAGTGTCCCCTCCTGTTTATCTCCCTGAGGATGCTTCACTACTACCTGATCTCCTGCCTGGAGCTTTCCTGGGTCACCGCCCCTATGTCACTGTACTGCTGGCTTGCGGGGACCACACAATCGAAAGGCCTGCTGCATAGGGCTACCTCCTGGATGGGGTTGGTTATTGGCCCAATTGTTAGCTCGATCCAGGTGCAAGTCCCAGTCTTTAAGAGCCGAGCCCACAAATTGCATTTGAGGATGCTATTGGCTCGCTCTACCAATCCGTTAGACTGCGGATGGTATGGGATGTGATATGTCCATAACATGCTATGTTTCGTGGTCCAGTCGTACACAAGATGATTGCAGAAGTGAGGGACATTATCGCTCTGTAGATTTATAGGTGGTGGATACACAGCTAGCAGTGTTTCCAGTGCTGCACAAGTGTCCTGGGCTGTAGTTCTCGCTGAAGGTGCAGGTGAACGTTATCCTTGTGATTACTTCTATGGCTACGAACACGTACTGTTGCAACATGTCTTTGATGTTAATGGTTCCTATCCATGCAGGCTTATAACACTGGATGCTTTCTGTCAAGGCTGGTAGTGATGGGACGGCAGCCATCAAGGGGTTAGTATTGGCATTCAAAGCTCAAAAGTCAATAGTCAGCTGCCACTCTCTATTTGGCTTACGCACTAGCCACACTGGATTGTTATACAAAGAGTGGGTTTGGATAATCGTCTCATTTTCTAACTGCTGGCTTATGATACGCTGGATAGGTTGTGTGGCCTCGGGGGGGGAGTTTGATACTGGGGTCTGTGTACTGCTTTCATGGGAGGCAGGGTTAGTGGGATCATGCTACATCGAGTTACAGCTGTTATAGCTGTTTCTTCTGGTTCTTGGTGAGGCACTGCACACCCAAACTGCCAATTCTCTTGCTCAAGGGCAAACCGCTGTCCTCTTCGTACATTAAGTCCCAGTAAGTTTGTTCTCTAAGTATTACTGCTGCCGCCATTACCTTAGAGCAATTGGGTAACGTGAAGGTTGCTTGGACCAGATGTCCTAGTTGTCTGGTGCCTCTCAGTCCAATTACTTGATAAGGGGTTCCTTTCTCCCCCTTCCAATCTGCAGAATCTAAAATTCAGATCTGGGCACCCGTGTTTAATAGCATATCAATTGACTTTTTACTTTTACCTAATTGAATCTGTTCAGGTATCCAAATTAAGGGGCCAATATTAACTTTAGATACTGCTCCCCAGCTTGCTACTTCCCCCTTTGTGGCCCCTTTCTTTGGAGGTTGGGCCAGCTGGACTCCCTAGGCCATGTGATTGGGGGGGGGGGGTGTAAAAATTCCCCACATGTGCCTGGAAAATGTTGACAGTTTTGCCCTCAGGGCAGAGAATCCCTCTGGTGACACTGTTGGTGGTGCAAAAGGCTCTGCTTTTGGTCTTGCCCTTTTGGTACAGTGTTTAGCCTACAGCCCTCGCAAGACATTCATGGGCAGTCTATCAATTTGCACTTTATTGAAACAGGCAGCTAACAAGTCTTTCCACATTTTTGCTTGTGGAGTCTTGGGCTGGCCTTTCCCGGCTTTTCTCAAAAATTCGGGGGGGATCAGGGGGTTTATCTTTCGCTGAGGCCACCGCCATGGCCTTGGCAGTTTTCATTGGCTTGGTAAGCCTTGGCTTCTGCAAAATGGGTAAAACCTGCACTAATCGCCGGATTGCATCTCTTACCAGGTGATTCACCGCCTGTGGCTCCAAGGCCAACAGGGCTGATGTGCACTTTGTGGGTGCTTGTCAGCAAAACCTCCTCCACAACGGTGCTGTCATGACTTCTGCATCTGGCGTATGAGTCCAAACTGCTGCACGGATGATTTCAGTTAGTGCCAACTCATACAAGCAGCGGACAGCCTCCTCTAAATTGGCCCATGCCCGAGGGGCAGGATTAAGCTCTTTTTCCATATTACCATAACTGGCTACAGTGGCTTAGAGCGCAGCAGAAAACAAAGTAACATTTTCATCACCTCCTGCAAACTGATTTAACTGGAGCTCAGGGCACAGAACAATTTGTGCTGTTTTGTCCCTACTCACAGATATAACAGAGGCTTCTTCACTATACATTTGAACTAGCTAGTCTATTACTGGCTCTCCTGGCTTGTTCTTTTGCTGCTTTTGAATATTTTAAATCTTTGCATGGGTAAAGGAATGCAGCTGTTTGGGGATTCCCTCCTTGCAGCCCTGAACGAGTTATCACCATGGGAAAAACTTGGCTGAGTTCCTCCCTCTGGGCAGGAAGTCCTGGCTAGGTTCCTCCCTCTGGGCAGGGACATACGGGGGTGGTTCTGTACCAGGCTCATCATCAATCTCCTCCTCTCCATCAATCTCCTCCCTTTGATCTTCCCAGAGCTCAACTACTGGTTTATAGCTATACAGAAACTTATGGAAGGATGGCTCTACAGCCTGTGCTAACTCCGCCCTCTTCTGGAGGGAAGTGGCCACGCGTGCAATCATAATTTTTCCTTCTCTCCGTTCTAAAGTTTCCAAGTGGCTCTGCGTAGCTTGCACAGCCTTGCATGCCACACTGTTGGAATCTTTCACGTCTTTTAACTCCTTACTTAGTGGGGTGACCTTTTTCCGGAGCTGGGCATTGTCTTTGGCCCCTAACTGCTGGCATACGGCCAGCAGCCATGATAGGCATCCCTTCTTGGGCTTGCCACAGGCAGCAGCAGCAAACCTAGCCCAGTGATTGGGTACAGTTCCCGGATCACTCCAGGCAGGTCTGAACCTATCCTTACTCCACCTGGGATTCTCCATCCCTGTCACTTCCTTAAGCAAAGCCACCAACGGGGCCCATGCAACTCCCTCCATTCTGACCTTTCCATGCACCTCCCTCCATTCCACCCTTTCTCTCCAAACCAGAGCCTCTCAATCCTGTTCCTGATGCCATATTATGTCCCAGCCGCCTGTGGAGGGTTTGGGATTGAGAGTATGGTCGGGGGTAGAAAGGTAAGAAAGGTTTATTGACTTAACAAAAACACAACTACGCGTAGTAACAAGACAAACAATGACAGACAAGAATAATTTGTGTCGGCAATTTATCGGCAGTCCTCTCCGATGCCTGATGTATGACAAGTTTCTCTTTCCACAAAGCTCAGTGAAGTCAGGCATCCCCAATTAGCGCTGTCTGAGAGATACCGGGAAGGACCCTGGTATTCAGTCCTTGGGCTTCTCGAGATCCACGGGCCCACTGATCCAGGTCAACAGCTAATTAATCTTCAGCTAATTAATCTTTTTCACAGAGCTGTATCTTCCTTCTGAATGATTTCTGGATGTTTTAGCCAATTTATAGCTTCTGAACTGTACTGATAACTTACAGTCACTCAGATTCTTTTTACTTCAGCTGTCCTTAGACTGACCAATAGCAGTACAAGCCTTGCATTCCTTTTGATAAGGTTAATTTTAACTACACCACAGGGCCTTACTACTTCAAGGCTTTGCTAAATTTACTAGGCCTTACTTTATACAAAGCCTTACTACAGCTTAAACTTCTAATTAGGTTCTTAGCAACAACGTATAGCTTAATATCTAAACAAATACAGAAAAAGACAGTCTAATCTTCATAGAGCCTTCAGCAAGCATCTTTATCACACAGACATAATTTTCAGTTGTCACAAAGGGCTACTGCCTTGCTGCAGGCCCCTGACACTCTGCACTGCTGCTCACTCTGAATGGTGAATTCCAGTAGGCGATGATCGCTATTGCCAAGGTGTTCAAGAACCTGGAGTCCCCTCACCAGGTCGTCGCCTGTGGCCAGGACTAGGGCCAGCAGGGCATTCCCCCTGGTGGGACTGTGCATCTCCTGGGTTAGGTGGAGGTCTTGTATCTCAGCAAGGAACCTATGTGAGCAGTCAGACCTGGCTGACTGTTCCTCCCAGCAAATGTCCAGGTAGTTTAGATCATCCATGATGACCACATCCGTTGACTTAAGTGCCTCTGTGAGCTGATCCAAGAAGTCCTGGTCCAGCTCTTCCCCCTCTGGTTGGGTGGTCTGTAGTAGACCCCCACTGTTAAGTCCCTTTTCCCGTGACCCCCTTGTATTCTGACCCAGAGCACTTCAGTCTGCTCCTCCTCTGACCTCATCCTGTTAGTTGAGGACATGCATTGCTCTTT